TCCACGACCCGAGCCAACCGGTGGACCGGTTGGCACCATTCCACATCCGATCGAGACCATCACCGGCCCCCATCCACTTACCTCCCGATAGTTTCAAGCACTCTTTGACTCTTATTTCAAATTCCTTTTCATCTTTCCCTCATCGTACTTGTTTGTTATCGATATCTCGCTCGTATTTAGCCTTGGACGGAATTTACCACCTAATTGGGGCCGCATTCCCAAACAACTCGACTCGTAGACAACGCCTCGTAGTGCAACGGGGTTGAGCCACGACGAGCTCTCACCCTTGGGCTCGGTCCATCGCCGAGGATGCTTCTCCGGACTACAATTCAAACACCACGAGCGCTCGATTCTCAAGCTAGGCACCTCCCGGTTCACTTGTCGTTACTAAGGGATTCCTTGTATGTTTTTTTCCTCTCGCTTATTTATATGCTTAAACTCGGCGGGTAGTCCCACCCGACTCGGGGTCGCGGCGAGAGCATCCTAGCAAAATCGATGATGCTCGAGGGTCTTGGATATCCCAAAGCACAATAGGGCATGTGCACGACCGCTTTCAAGGGTTCTCTCAACCATCGCTTGTCGTGGCAACCGTCGACAAGGACTCAATTTTAGGCCAACCACGAGCAAAAGCATATGCGAAAGACCGGCATCCGTCCCTCACCCTCGTTAGCCGAGAGGGGTTTGGGGCGATGATCCATGACACCCAAGAAGACATGCCCTTAGCAATGAGGCCTCGGGTGTAACTTGCGTTTAAAAAATCATTGGCTCATGGGATTCTATAATTCACACCAACTATCGCATTTCACTATGTTCTTCATCGATGCAAGAGTTGAGATATCCGTTATCGAGAGTCGTTTAGCTTATCGTGAATTGGAGACGTACCCCTAGAGCACCCTTTAGCGACGGGGGCACGCTCGTCGTACTTTAGTTCCTTGGCGCTTCTCATGCGGGGTTTATTTTCAAGCTACGTCGAGTGTGGATGCACCCATCCGTGACCCCGAGGGACACGAGGGGCAAGAGCCCCCTACGGCCCTAGCATGCTAGGCCACAAGTTCGTAGGTCATTCTATCGGGCGGGTTTTGATAATGATCCTTCCATAGGTTCATCTACGTAAACCTTGTTACGACTTCTGCTTCCTCTAAATGATAAGGTTCGGCGGACTTCTTGTAACGTCGTCGACGGTGAATCACCCACGTCATCGCGATTCGAACACTTCACCGGACCATTCAATCGGTCGGAGTGATGGACGGTGTGTACAAAAGGTAGGGACGTAGTCAACGCCGGTCGATAGCTCGCACTTACTAGGAATTCCTTGTTGAAGACCAACAATTACAATGATCTATCCCCATCAGGAGAGAGAAAGAAAAGAGTGATGCTCTCCTCCTATGGAGTTTTTTCCCTCAAGCTCTAGTCGGTGCCTCCACTCGATTCCCCTACCCCCGCCCCTCGCCAGCTCTCTCTTCCTCTCCATCTTCGTTTATGCCCCTTTCCTCCCCTCCTCTTCTCTCTCCTCCTCGCTTCACCCCATTTCCTTCGGTTTTCTCTCTCCTTGACTTTCTCCTTATTCCCTCCCTCCCACTTCCCAACTCTAATGGCTAAGAAAAAGAAGAAAATCGATTCCCACATGAAGGAAAGCGGACCCTTAGATGCTCCAGTTGTGGCTCGCTCGCGTCCATGGATGCTCTTCCTTCTAGTTCATTTTCTATTGTAGACATTGTTCATCATTCTAGATCCGTAAAATCCGAAGTTGTTGGGTCCAAATATGTTGTTCCTCCTCCTCCCCTTGATAATGTGGAGGCCGACTCGAGTTCTAGTGATGAGGAATCGGTAGATGAATAAGACAACCTAGAGGATTCAAATCCCGCCCAACAAATTCAAAATTTCAATCTCCCACCCATAAGGTTGCACAGCCGAGCAATCCCTCCGATCGTTCCTAGCTCCCCCACATGATAGAGGCTCCTTTCCGGTACTCGGTCCTTCGAATTTTCAAGGGCCACCGGAAGCGCACCGGATACCACACGACGTGCGTTGCTTTTCCAGCCACTAGACCATACCTTTGACTAAGTCATTTCTAGGGTAAGTCGGTCGTTAAATAGAAAATATAACTCTTCTTAAGGCCCCCACCGACATCTTCAAACTCCCTAACATTGTTGTTAGCCCCACGTCCCAATTCGGGAATTTTAACTTGATTCCCTTTCGAAGCTTACACGCGAATACATAGTCGGACGGGCTTCCCCGTCTCTTAGGATCAACTAACTCATGTGCAAGTGTCGTTCACATGGAACCTTTCCCTTCTTCGACCTTTAAAGTTCTCATTTGAATATTTGCTACTACCACCAAGATCCGTACCGATGGCTATTCCACCCGGGCTCGCGCCCTAGGTTTTAGAGCGACCACCGTGCCCTCCTACTCATCGGGGCACGGCGCGTGCCCCGATGGTCGGGTATAGGTCACACGCTTCATCGCCATCCATTTTTGAGCCTAGTTGATTCGGCAGGTGAGTTGTTACACACTCCTTAATGGATTTCGACTTCCATGACCATCGTCCTGTCGTCTTAATCGACCAACACCCTTTATGGGTTCTAGGTTAGCACACGATTGGGCACCATAACTCGGCTTTCGGTTCATCCCACATCACCGGCTACGCTTACCAAAAATAGCCCACTTGGAGCTCTCGATTCCATGGCACGGCTCAACGAAGCGATCACACCATCCTACCTATTTAAAGTTTGAGAATAGGTCGAGGGCATTGCACCCCCGATCCCTCTAATCACTAGCCTTACCCTATAAAACTCGCACCGAGCTCCAACTATCCCGAGGGAAACTTTAGATGGAACCAACTACTAGATTGTTTGATTAGTCTTTTGCCCCTATACCCAAGTCAAATGAACGATTTGCACGTCGGTATCACTCGCGAGCCTCCACCATAGTTTCCTCTAGCTTCGCCTTACTCGGGCATAGTTTACCATCTTTCGGGTCCTAGCGAGCATGCTCTCACTCGAACCCTTCTTAGAATATCAAGGTCGATCAACGGTGCAACCCTCGATGGGATCTCGCCAATCAACTTCCTTATGCCTTACGAGTTTACTCACATGTTGACTCGCACACATGTCGACTCGTACACATGTCGACTCTTTGGTCCGTGTTTCAAGATGGGACAAATGAGGAGCCCACGGAGTTGATGCTCGGAGCATCCTCGGTGCCTAGGCACGTCGAGATAATGCGTGCTACGGTCCATAATTATGATGACAACATCTCCATAAGCATTTCAAAAGCTCGGGCTTGGGCCACCATCGCAATCCGCATCCGTCCACACCCCGAGCCGATCGGCGGACCGGTTGGCATAGTTCCACATTCGACCGGGGCACATCGCAGCCCCCATCCACTTCCCTCTCGACAATTTCAAGCACTCTTTGACTCTCTTTTCAAAGTCCTTTTCATCTTTCTCTCATGATACTTTTTTGCTATCGGTCTCTCGCCCGTATTTACCATTGGACAAAATTTACTACCCGATTGAGGCTGTATTCCAAAACAACCCGACTCACGGACGAGTGTCTCGTGGTGCAACGAGGTCCAGCCACAACGGGGCTCTCACCCTCTTCGACGCCCCCTTCTAAGGGACTTGGGTCCGGTCCGTCGCCGAGGACGCTTCTCCGGACTACAATTCAAACGCCATAGGCGCTTGATTCTCAAGTTGGGCACCTCCCGGTTCGCTCATCGTTAATAAAGGAATCCTTATAAGTTTCTTTTCCTTCACTTATTGATATGCTTTAACTCGGCGAGTAGTCCCGCCCGACCTAGGGTCGCAGTGAGAGCATCCTAGCAAAGCCGATGATGCTCGAGGGCCTTGAATATCCCAAAGCGCAACGAGTGCATGCGCATGACCACTTTCAAGGGCTCTCTCAACCATTGCTCATCGTGCCAACCGTCGGCAAGGATTCAATTTTGGGCCAACCACGAGCGGAAGCACACACGAGAGACCAGTATCCGCCCTCCATCCTCGTTAGCCGAGAGGGGTTTGGGGGCGACGATGCATGACACCCGGCAGATGTGCCCTCGGCCACGAGGCCTTAGGCGTAACTTGCATTCAAAAACTCGATGGCCCACGGGATTCTAGAATTCACACCAAGTATCACATTTTGCTATGTTCTTCATCGATGAAAGAGCCGAGATATCCATTGTCGAGAGTCGTTTAGCTTATCGTGAATTGGAGATGCACCCCAGCAGCACCCTTCAACAATGGGGGCATGCTCTTTGTACTCTAGTTCCTTAGCGCTTCTCGTACCGAGGTTTTTTTCGAGCTACGTCGGGTGCGGATGCACCCGTCCATGGCCCCGAGGGACGCAGGGGGCAAGAGTCCCCTATGGCCCTAGCATGCTCGGCCATAAGTTCGCGAGTCTTTCCGCTAGGTAGGTTTCGACAATGACCCTTTTGCGGGTTCACCTACGAAACCTTTTTACGACTTCTCCTTCCTTTAAATGATAACGTTTAGTGGACTTCTCGTGATGTCGTCGACAGTGAACCGCCTATGTCGTCACGATTCGAACACTTCATCGGACCATTCAATCGGTAGGAGCAATGGGCGGTGTGTACAAAGGGTAGGAACGTAGTCGACACGAGCCGATGACTTACGCTTACTAGGAATTCCTCATTGAAGACCAACAATTGCAATGATCTATCCCCATCACGATGAAATTTCAAAGATTACCCGAGCCTATCGACCAAGGCTATAGACTCGTTGAATACACCGAGTGTAGCACGCGTGTGGGCCGGAACATCTAAGGGCATCACGGACCTATTATTGCCTCAAACTTCCTTGGCCCGAAAGGCCATAGTCCCTCTAAGAAGCCGGCCACGGAGGGTCACCTCCGCATAGCTAGTTAGCGAGTCGAGGTCTCGTTTGTTAATGAAATTAACCAAACAAATCACTCCACCAACTAAGAACGACCATGCACCACCACCCATAGAATCAAGAAAGAGCTCTCGGCTTTCTCAAGCTTATGTATCCGTTTGGGTCCTCTTGGGATGTGGTCGTTTAACCCGTCCCTCGGCCGCTCTAAGCTTATTGTTATGAGCTCGTATTCGATCGGGGTAGCTATTGCCCCGCTCTAGTTTACTACTGCTGCTCGTCCGGCCAAAGCTTGTGATTTGGCTTCGCCGGCGTTTAGCATCTTCCGGTCCGTTGGGGTTGTGGCCACTCGTCCCGCCCTGTGGCCGTTTTGGGCTTCGTCGATTCGGGGGTACGCTCAACTAAGGGATTGCGCATTTGTTCCGGCCACCACGTCCTGGTTTGGTTGCCCCGTCGCCGCCTTCTCGGCTACTGCTCGCGGATTGATCGAGTTGTGGGTCTCGCTTCTGCTATGGTTTAGCTTCTTCGGCTTGGTTGCGGCTCCGCTTGCTTGGTTGCATGGGCTCGGCCTCCGGTCCGACCGGGGTGGTATACTCCTGTTCGGGCCTAATTATCGAAGGCCCTAGCCTCCCTCCCGAGCCCATGTAGTGCTCCCATCCGCTCCTCGTCTCGTGCCGGACGGCCACTTCGTGAGCTTCTTTGTTTAGTCTCGCTCTTGGCCTCTCCGTCCGCCTTGCTCCTGCCGGTCGCTCACATCCGCCGAGCTTGCATTTACCTCTCGCAAATTCACAGCTGGTCATCCGTAATTAATGGCTTTCCTTTAGTACTTAATCGGGAAACTTTTTTGTATACCGGTGTTTCTACGTAAACGACCCCGAGTTATTCATAGCGGGGTCCCTATATAGTTTTTCTTGGAATCTCTCGCAATTGTTTTGTTTCCTTGAACAACCACCTAGGGTTCTCTTTTTTTTTTTGTTTCTTTGGGAGCTCGTTCCCATTTTTGTACATCCCGTATATGCTACTCTTGTCTGGTTATTTTTCCAATTGGTTTCCTTTGATTTATATACTTACCTTTAAATCAAAAAAGAAAGAGCTCTCGGTAGCTCTCAGTAGTTTGTCTAGGAGAGAGAAAAAAGAGAGAGGTGCTTTCTTCCACCCATGGAGATCTTTCCCTCGAGATTTGACATGCTACTACTCGGCTCTCCCTCTCTTCCCTCCTCTTCATCTCGTTCTTAAATCTCTTCTCCTTCCCGTGTCCTCTCTTTCCAGCTCACCATATTCCCTCTCTCTTCCCCGTTCTCGTATACTTCCTTTCCTCTATGGCTAAAAAGAAAAAGAAATCTATTGCTAGGTCATCAAAAATTTCACAAGGGACATATTATGTGACACCAATTATTTCCCTAGTAGCTCCTCCGGCGCCTTCCACTTCTCTACATCGGTTGGACTCCACATCGACCCACTTGACTTCTCACCGAGCCGGGATACCGGAGTTTTACACAAACCTACCCCTCTCCTGCTCTTGACTCAATGGCGGTTAAGGACCGCTCCGATGTGGACACTAAGGTTGAATCGATTCCTTAGATTCCGAAGGGGAACCTACCTCTTGGTCCCAATTCTTCCGACCCCCTCCCGATTCGGGTCTAATTGCACCCCTCGATGCCCTACAAGTCAACTCCGGCCTAGCGCACTCTATCCACCACCGAGGAGACTTATGTTTGGGCAACCCTCTATGTGCAACCGCACCCACCCGGTGCCCACCACCTCGCTTGATAGAGACCCCCAATCGGTCTTCCCGAATGTGACCTTATGCTCGGGAGTAAATGCGGGTGCTTATAGTGTAGCTTCTTTTGCCCGTCGATCTATTTCCGGTCCGAATTATGCGAGCATGCCCCCGATGTATTGATAAGTGGAAATATAGTTGGCTTACTCAAGGAAGCTTGCTCGTTTAGCCCCTCCATCCTTGCTCGATGCTATTGCTGGTTCTACTTACCCCGTAAGTGACTTTGCCCCACTACCTAATTGGAGAAATTTATTTATGAATAACCGTAGTCTTACTTTCTATCCAAAACTCACAAACTACTCCACTATCACAAAAAATCAGAAATGTTCTTTGGTTGTGGAGGATTCATAATATGATGGGTCGAAATTTTGCCCGATGGGTTATGTAACCGGTAAATCCCCTAGTTACGGGGCTCTAAATGCTATTATTACAAATTCTTAGAAATGTAAAGCTAAGCTGATAATGCATGACTCTGGATGGCTAGTATACCAATTTGATTCCGAAGACGTGAAACTCGGAGGTGTTGAATGGTGGACCTTATTTGATCTATGGTAGGGCCTTGATCCCGAAATCTATGTCGAATTTTTTGACTTCTCATCGTGGGATATATCAATTGTTCCTCGTATGGGTGAAATTCCCCAACCTCCCCTTAAAATGTTGGTCCACTCGATAGCCTATCTAAAATAGCAATTTTGCTCGAGAAACCAATACAATGTGACGGACTTATAGCCACTATGGATAGAATATCTTATGCTAGAGTCCTTATTGAGATGAACATCATGGATGCCTTACCATGAGAGGTGGGCATTGATCCGTCGAATGGTTATAAGTTACTCCAATCTATGATCTATGAAACGATGCCAATTCACTACAAACATTACAAAGTCTTGGGCCATGTGACTTCCGGACGCAAAGCGGTTCCTCAAAAATCTAGAGTGATAGAGAAGGGGCTACTGCGATTGTGGACGAGGGTAATCATTCACGAGCTAGCATGGCTACCGAGCTTGGGCCGATCGATGCCATTGCTTCTAGTTCTCAACTCGAGAGGTTTGACCCCATGTATGCTGAGTTTGCTAGAAATTATGATGGTTGGGAAACAATCGGGAGGAAGGGAAGAGGGCTACATCGGTCGCCGAATGACCGAGTGTGCTACTCGCTGTGCCGGTTCAGCGAACATACCCTCCTAAGGCGTAATGCTACCGCCGTCATAGGCTAGATGGCTACTCGTTGATTTAGAGCGGCATGGGACTTGCTTTGTTCAGCTAGCCACTTCAATTCTAAATAACCTAAGGATTGGTAAACGGAAAGAAAAGGTGATAGGTGGGGGTGCACCACATGACATTGAGGAAAGTCGGGGGACTAGGCGGGCCTTCGATGCTACCGCTAGCCATATTGGCCTATATAGACTTGAGAGATTGGTTGAGAACCCCGACCCGAAAGAAGTAGTTGTTGAGGAATTGGTTCTTCCTAATGCTCATGGGGCTGCCACTCGGACTAGTAGAGGTGATGGTCAAGCAAGGGTTTCTATGTGGGTGACCACTAAAAGTGGTGGGGTGAAAACTAGAGGTGGTAGTAGGTGGGTGCCTACCACCATAATTCCCGTATGTTAATATACTGCTTGGAATGTCAAGGGCCTTAACAACCCCACGAAGCGACATCAAGGCTATAGGCCTTATGAAAAAGAAATAGGTTGATGTGTGTTCTTTTGTTGAGAGGAAGCTTAGCATAGCCAAACTTGCCCATATGCATAGACTTCGGCTTAAAGATTGGAATGTTGTCTCCAATGTTGAGGTTGCTCCATATGCTCGTATTGTTGTATTTTAGAACCCCAAGATAGTTTTACTTGAATGCCTTGATGTCTCTTCTTAAGGGTTAAATGTTAGAATCTCTAGTCTTGTTGAGCGAGTACTACTTTAATGCCACTTTTGTTTATGCGTTTAATACTTGTTTTTGCCAAGAAAGACTTGTGGGATGACCTACGGAGGTGGGATCCGCATTACGCATGGATTTTCCCGGGGGATTTCAATTTCGTTCTCTGTCGAGATGACAAATGCAATGGGGTGGCTATCTCTACCTATGATACCTCGGATTTTTTAGATTGTTGCGGCGAGTTGGGATTTAGTGACCTAAACTATGTCGTGCAGTCACTACACTTAGAATCGAGGTATTGTTTGGACCAAGGTTGACCAAGTTATGGCTAACCCCCATTGGGCCACTCTTAGGTCGCCTACTCTTATTCATTTTAGCACTCCGGGTGCTTTCTCCGATCATGCTTGCAGCCTTCCATCCAGGCTTAATACCCCATCCACCCCAAAGCCGGCTAGTTTTAAGTTCTTTAACATGTGGAATTCTTATGATCATTTCCTACACATTGTTAGGCGATATTGGGAGGAGCATGCAAGACACTTGAGGCCGACGTTGTAAACCTTGCGAGAGCATAAATTGTATGCTAAGTTCAAGAAGTGTGCATTTTGGCTCCAACAAGTGTCTTTCCTTGGTCATATTGCCTCTAAAGAGGGGCTTACCGTTGATCCGAGCAAGATTGAGGTAGTACAATGGTGGATACAACCGAACAATGTGTCCGAATTACAAAGTTTTCTTGGCCCGGTAGGTTACTAGTAGAAGTTTGTTGAGGGATTTTTGAAAATTAAAGCTCCACTCATGAAGTTGACGCGGAAGAACACTAAGTTTATATGGGATGCCGAGTGTGAGGAAAGTTTTCGAAAGCTAAAATCCGGATTAACTTTGGCACTAGTATTAGCCCTTCCATTAGATGATGAAGATTTCATCATTTATACCGACGCATAAAAAATCGGGCTTGGGGTCGTTTTCATGCAAGCCGGCCAAGTGATCGCATATGCTTCGTCACGGTTAAAGAGTTATGAAAGAAACTATTCGATGCATAACTTAGAGCTGGTAGTAGTGGTGTTTGCATTGAAAGTGTAGCAACACTACTTATACGGGGTTCGGTGCAAAATTTACATCGATCACAAGAGCCTCAAATACATGTTCACACAAAAGGAGCTGAACAAGAGGCGGCGTTGGTGGCTGAAAGTTCTAGAGGATTACGACATTATTTTCCATTATCACCTCAAGAAAGCAAATGTCATCGCGGATGCGTTGAGCCGAGAGACATGGGCTATGTTTCAAGTAGAAATCGTTGCCAATTTGTCAAGTATACAATCGGAAATTCTATCGAGTGGGGACAATGATGGTCCGTTGTTTGCGATGGTCTTGGGGTCAGATTTGTTATAGGAAATCAAGGAAACATGGATGAAGGATTCGGATTTGGCTAGGATTCATAGAAAATCATAGCTAGGCGAGAATCGAGTTTTGCCGTAGACAGTGACGACGTTCTATGCTACCGCGATAGATTGTGTGTTCCGACTGAAACAGAGTTGCATCTAGGTATTTTGAGGGAAGCTCATGCTACTCCATACACCATTCATCCCGATAGTATGAAGATGTATCGAGACCTAATGAAGGCTTATTGTGGAAGGATGTTGCCGAGTTTGTGGCTATGTGCCCGACGTGCCGGCAAGTCAAGGTCGAGCACCAAAGGCCTTGGGTTTTCTAAAGCCGCTAGGCATACCGGAATGGAAGTGGGAGCATGTAATGATGGACTTCATCATTGAGTTGCCGAGGTCTAAAAGAGGGGCGGATGGTGTTTAGGTGATCATGGATCAATTGACGAAGTTAGCACATTTCCTTGCTATAAAGGCAACGTATTGAATGCAACGAGTATGCTAAATTATACATGAGAGAAGTTTTAAGGTTGCACCGTATTCTAGTGTCGATAGTGTCGAGTCGAGACCAATGATTTACGTCGAACATTTGGAAAAGCCTACATAGTGTCATGGGGAAAAATCTAAAGTTCGGTAATGCCTTTCACTCGCGGATGGACAGGCGATCCGGAGAGTAATTCGGATCGTCGAAGACATACTGCGAGCATGTGTATTGGGATGGTCGGCAAGGTAGGAGAGATATCTATCACCGGCTGAATTCTCATATAATAATAGCCATCAAGCTAGCATTGGAATGCCACCATACAAGGCATTATATGGAACGAGATGTTGATCGTTGGTACATTGGGATGAAGTTGGTGAAAGGAAATTGCTTGGGCTCGAGATGCTGCAACAAACCGCTCGCATTGCATGCCAAGTTAGGTTGAGATTGAAGGCAGCTCAAGATCAGCAAAAAAGCTTTGTTGACAGGAGATGAAAGGATTTAGAATTTCAGGTTGGTGACGATGTCTTTTTAAAGGTTGCACCGATGAAAGGAGTGATGCGTTTTGGTAAGAAAGGCAAGCTAAGTACGCGGTATATGGGTCCATTCAAGATTTTATAATGAATCGAGGATAAGGCTTATCGCTTGGCATCACCACCAGCCTTTGCTACTGTACACATTGTGTTTCATGTTTCGATACTCGTGAAAATACATCAATGATTCCAGCCATGTTGTAACCCTCGCAAAAACCCTTATCCGTGACGCGACATGTATTAGAATATTTCTATATATATGTATGTTAAGAGTAAGTATAATTCTCATTTCATCATGAGAAATTAATGCTTGAAATATGTGATTTATGTTAAATTAAAGTTATTGTGCTTAAGATTAATGATTTAATTATTAAAGAAATCAAATATGCAAAATCGATGTTTTAAGGACTATATTCTACCTGAGTTTTGTGTGAATTATTTGAGGACTTTAGGGAAATTTTTGGGTCAACCTTAAAGAATGAAATTTGTTCATCTATGTGTTGAACAGGCCTGTATAAAAGTTGATAATATTTTGACTTATACATTAAGCGTTATACCAATTCTAGTGAGGGTTGTTCCGAAATGCATTCTGCTGGAATTTTGGGAGAAGAATCTGCCCGAATCTTGTGAGATTTATTTGATGCTGTTAGATTGATTTTTGAGAAAACCTTAAAGAATAATAGTTGGTTGTATATGTGTTTACTAGGTCTCTATAACATTTCATAATGTTTTAATACATATAGAAAGAGTTATGCACATTTTAGTATAGATGGGTTAGGAGGTAACACTGCTGAAATTTTAAGGAAAAAGAAATTTTGAATTTTAAAAATGGAAATTTTCGAATTTTTTTATGAAATAAATTATGTATAATTACATGAACCAAGCTTATTAATGTTTTTATTTAGCCTAAGTTTTCTTTAGCCACCTAAGCACTAGAATTAAATGCTTGGAAGCCAAATCATCACCTTTGACTTCCAAAGAATGCCAGACTTTGCCTTCCAAGCTTCCTCCACTTTACATTTGGCCTAGTTAAATTTTAACACTTATGATATAAATAAATGAGAGGATAAAAGGTGGGTATATAAGGGAAAGAGAGGGTTAAATAACTGCCATTTTTAGGCCAAAAACCGTAGCCATCCAGAATTAAAAGAGAAGCCAAATTGAAGAGAGAAAAACAACAAAAAGAGAGAAAGAAAGAAAAGGGAAAGAGAAAGGGGAAAAGGAAAGAAAAAGAGCTAAGGAAATTCTAATCAAACCTAAAAGAGGTAAGTAGGTTTCATTTTTTTGGCTGATTAATGTCTTAAATTGTTGTTTTTTTAAGTTATTTTGTTAGTGTTCATTTCATGGGTTGTAATAATTTTCAATGGTTATATGCTTGATGCTTGGGATAAATCTATGTATCGATGCCTTGTTGTGATGATTTATGATGTTATGATGTTTTGAAAAATGTCCAAGTATGTGGTGATGGGTTGGATTGAACTTGGACTAAATTTAAGTGAACTAAAACATGTTTAAAGTTGGCTTGGAATGAAGTAATAAATTAGTGTTGATAAGGAGTAAATTCTGTCCGAATTTTGGGGTGTATGTTCAAGGATTTTAGATCGATTTCTAAGTGAAACTTAAAGAATAAAATTTGTTCATCTATGTTTCAACTACCGTTATTTAAAATTTCTTGGTCATTGGATTCGTTTACAAAGAGTTATACCCGATTTAGTATTGATAGCTCTAGGCAAACTATTATTAGGCAGATTGCTCCCTAAGTTTCAAAAATGTGTAATTAATTGTGTACTAGGTATTTAGACCTAATTTTTGGATATGTTATAAATAAATATGTCTAGTATCTAAAATAAAATGAGTAAGATTTAATTATGTTGTGAAATTAGAAAATTATTTACTCGATTAGGAGTTGCTTGGTAATAAACCCTAAAACCAAAACAATTAGACTTGGACAAAATTAATAGGTTTGGAATAAACTAAATGAGCTTGGAATAAATAAAATAGAATTAAATAGAGTCAATGGACCTAGGATAAAGTTATTGGGCTCGGATTAAAGTAAATGGACTTGGACCTTCTTTTAAATATTAGTGAAACTAATGAACAATATTAATGAGCGGAGATTGTGTTCCTACTATGGGTATCATGATTGGTATGTGAGCAATGGATAAATTCCGAGTGTGGGTTGGACCGAGAGTATGGCATGAGAATGAAGGGTTGGTACCCGACTTTGGTGAAATGTAATTAAATATGTCATCACATGCATCATGTGCATAGTGGGTGGTTTAAGACAAGTCAATTGATTGAGAAAGGGTTTATACATCTAGGTTTGATAACCTAACTGGAATAAATGGGAA